TAATATTATATGATATTATAAAAAGAAAAATATTCTTATAAAATATTTTTTAATTTAAATTGAAATAATTTTTTGAGTATATGCACAATGTACACAAAGTGACATTTGATTGAATTTTAAAATATAATATTATAAAAAGAAAAATATTCTTATAAAATATTTTTTAATTTAAATTAAATTAATTTTTTAATTAAATATATATACAAATTATATTGGGATGTTTTACATATTTTCAAGTTAATCATGTTTTTATCATTCTGTCACATGACAGATGATATGACAATAAGAAAAGAATACTTTAAAGAAAAATATATAGAGAAATTCTGAGAATTTTCCTCAAACAAATTAAGACGATACCTGAAATTCTGCTTTATCAAGCTCCCATTGCGATCTTTCAAGTTCAAAGCGAGTCCATTCATGCTGAATAAAATGTAGAATACCAGGCATAGAGTATTGTGGCCTTTCATTCTTAGCATCGCCATTAGTACCATTGTCATTCCCTTGATGTTTATTATTTGTTAATGGAACATTTGCACCACTAGATAATTGTCCATTATGATTTTGAGATGCAGAACTGGAGTTCTCCTCCATCGTGGAACCACAAAACTGGCTCGGTACCTTCATTTCATGACACGGCAGCCATTACAACAACTTTTCTTTCCTCTGGAGCCCAAAGAGTGCTCTCCTGTCGGATAATGTATTTCGATCGAGTTTGCAAAAAGAAATAATTAATACGCATGCGAACGTATTTGATTTTAATATAACTAATATATTTTACATAAAATTTTATAATTTTTTATTTATCTATCAAAATTTAACTAATAGTTCAACTTTTCCGAAATAGCAAATAAATATTCTTTTCTTCGTACATCTTCAAAATCGTACTTTCCTCCACCATCCTCATATAATATATTCAGATATACTATATTGAAACTTTATACCGGCTTTCTATGACAAAATATTTGATATTTTGCTACCAACTTTCTTATTTATGATTAACATAGTTTGAAATAATTGATTTCAATAAATTAAATATAATTTATGAACATATTCTCTGAACTGAATTATAATATCGATTTCTATTAAATTATCTATAAAATTTTAAAAGAATAAGAAAAAAAATAACATTTTTTGTCAATAATAAAACATAATTTCAATTATAAATACCTAGAGGAGTTAAGTAACCAAAAATTAACTAGTATTGAAAATAGAATAAATCACTATAGTAATTACATTTTACTAAATCAGTAAAAAATAAATTATTTTTTTTATGACATAATATAATCAAATAAACAAAAGAATATTAAATTTTGTATTATTTTTATATATACTTTTTATTGTTTTATATTAAATAATATTAGAATTTTCGCTGGTGAAAAACTTTAAAAATCTACTTTATAGAATATTTATTATTAGTTAAAATATAATAAAAATTTTAATTTTATAAAATGACAAATATAGTATATTTTAATTTTTTCTGTAAGGCTGATTCAGAAGATTAGAAGTATCTTTTTATACTAAAAAATCAAAATACTAGTCGTTAATGTTTTGTAATATATTTATAAATATAAAATTTTATATAAAAATATTATTTCTTATTTTTGCATATTATATATATATATCAAAATTTAAAA